TAACCACACTGAAATACTAAAGCATGGGCACCGCCTTAAGGAATCCTTGAAGCAAATGCATGCTTGTGAAGACATAGTAAAAGAAAGATCTTGACAGAGATACAAGTACTCGTATGATGATGGCCGTTTCTCCTACTGATGGTTCATTAACCAAAGATGACGAGAGAATACAGCCTGATTCCGATAAATGTGTTATCAAATTAGTAGACGATATTTCATGATACATTTGAAATTCCCAAAGAATAGAAATGTCAGTATATAACAAGAAAAGAGCAAGAAAGTGGCTATATTCTCTTAAAAAAAAAAGCTTCTAAGGCCAAAAATACTGGGCAGAGGATAGAAAGCCCTAGAAAGGAGATGAACAAGTGAATATCAAAGAAGGCTCTTCCTGAATATGAGTGAGGTTAGAGCTGAAGATACCTATGAATAGATATTTGTTTTAATGTAACACTGGCATATGCTGCATACAGATCCACAGTATTATGAATTTGACAGAAATTAATATGATTTAAACTCATTAAGAGACATAGGTATCAGCAAGTGAGAGGCAGACCTACACTAAAATGGTTCCTAAAGTAAACTGTTTGAAGAAATGGATATCAAAGATTCTCCAGTGATAACTTTAAATTTTTCATGAATATATTTGTCTTCAATGCTTGGGGAGATAAAAGAATCATGGGCTAATAGCACAATTGAATTAAGCACTTATTCTTTGCGAAAGAGCTATCTTCAGAAATCTTGAACTTCACTGACCTGGATGGACAATGAAGGGGTCACATGTGAAATCCCTTACATAAAAATGTATTAACTTGGGACTGGAGAGACGGCTCAGAGATTACAAGCACTGGATGCTCTTTCAGAGGACCCGGGTTTAGTTCCCAGCACCCCCTTGGCCGCTCACAATTGTCTACAACTCTAATTGCAGGGGATCTGACTTCTTCACACAGACATACATGCAGGCAACATATCAATGCCCAGAAATAAAGGTAAATAAAGCATTTTTCAATGTATTAACTGTTTTAAAAAGATAAATAAAACAGAACTTTAGCTAGGAGACATTAATTTATCATGAAATAAAAAGTAAACCTAAACCAAATAAATAAGAAAAATGTGAATTTTAAAACATCCTAAGTTTAGAGGCCTTCCTCAACTGCTAAAGAATACCTATATACAAAGTATCAAAAACTAACATCCTTAATAATGAGAAATGCAAAGCTTCTTTAAGATCTACAGCAAGGCCTCCATGGGCATCAAGCACTCCAGCATATTACCAGAAAAGGCACCCTTTCTCATTCTTCAACACATTGCTAGGGAACCCTACCTATTGAAAGAAAACAAGAAAAAGAATTTAAATTAATAAGTAAAACTGCCTTTGTACAAAGATGCCTGTATTGTCTATATGAAAAAACCTGAATGAACACACAGAAAAACCTAGGTCTTAAAACATAATTCTAGCAAAAGTGAAGGTCACATCACTGAAGCCAATCACTTTTCTATATGCCAGCAAAGGACAACTGACATTTTTGTTTTGGTCTCCGTTTTGTTGGTGTTGTTTGCTTTTTGTTTTGAGACAGGGTCTCACTATATAGTCCTGACTGGCCTCACCACATAGACCAGGGTAGCCTTAAAATGACATGAATATGCCTGTCTCTACCTGTGGAAATGCTAGGATTAAAATGGTGTGCAGCCAGCCCAGGAAAAAGTGAAATTTGAAGGTAAAACCACACACCTTTTACACTAGCATGCAAAAAAGAAGGAAGAAAAAAACAGAATGAATGTTAACAGAATAGCTAGGAATCTAACAAAATATATTTAAATGATATATAAGAAAACCACAAAACTCTAATGAAAGACATCTAAAATAACTTTTAATGGAAGATAGCCCATGTTCATGAGCAGAAAACTGTATGTTCTTCCTATTTGATCTACAAACTGAATGTAATCCTAATCAAAACCTAAGCAAGTAACTGTAGATATAAACCATCTGATTCTGAAGCTTATGTGGAGAGACAAAACCCAAAATAAGCAACACAATCTGGAAAGAAAGAATACAAAGAACTTTGGTAGAAATAAAGCTTACAGAGTCAAGACTGTATAGTATGAATGAAGTATTGGCCAATGAAACAGAATAGGAATGCTAAAAAATAGAACCATATAATACAGATCTTTCACAAAGCACAAAGACAATACAATGAGGAAAATAATGTATGTTGTTGAACCAACTAGACATCCACCCACGTTCAAAACAAGAAGCAATATTTAGAAGTTTCACAAAATAGGCACTCCAGCATATTACCAGGAATCCTGTGCTCACTAGGATTTCCCAAAAACAGCCCTCAGAACTTAAGGGGCACACTTGTGCTGATGTACCAGCTATGCCTCAGATTGTGCCAGAGCAGATCCACCCTGACAGAACTTTCAGGAACTAACAGACATCCACCACCAGGTGCACCAGGCACAGAGGGATGAGTGAACCTGCCATTTCTCTGGGCTGAAAATGTCCTTCAATGGCAGAGGACCCAAATTCAGCTCCCAATAGCCACATAACAACTCGTAACTAGTTGTAACTCTAGTTCTAAAGATCTGATTGCCCTCTTCTGGCCTCCATGGGCATCAGGCACATACATAGTATACAAACAACACATTCATACACATAAAATAAGATAAACAAGTATTTTTTAAAATAAAGCAAAAATTAACCTATGGCCTTAGATGCCAGAGCAACAGTTACTCTCACAGGAGATAAAAGTTATAGCTGTTGGGGGAAAGGTGGGGCCTCTGGCATGGTAGCAAAATTCTATTTCTACATCTGAAATCATGATTATTAAGTATGTTTTGTAAAGAATGCATCTAGGGCATACTTACAATTATAGATTCCTTCCTAATGGCATAACGTTGTGGGAGTAATCAACTACTTTCTGATTAGCTTTAAGGTCCACTCCACAAAAAGAACCCCATATCTGGCACTGTTATTTGAGACAAGAACCTGAGGGTAGACAGCTCACAGGTCCTAGGAGAGAAGCTATTACTTTTGTACTGATAAATGGATATATTAAACTAACTCCTAACGACGTACTGTTATATTGTTCATCCTTCTTCAGTGATGCTTTGTGTAGATGGTAGTTAACAGAGACCCACAACTGGTCAAGGAGCAGAGAATAAGAAACTACAAAATGAATGCTCACCCCTAAATAGGGCTTCTGTATCATTCCCCTCTTCCTAAGGCTTAAAATAATTGCGGAAGAGGGGACAGAAAGATTGACTGTAAGAACCAGAGGCAATGGATGACCATAAGGAAGCAGATACAAAAAGGCAGTTGTACAAATGAGCTGGGGGAGGTTGCGACAACACACACAAACCTGGGCAAAATTCAACCCAGACAAAAACCTCAGCATGGAGAGGGAAGGTAGGCATAAAGTTCCACCCCTATCTTATTGACAAATAATAGCTGCTAAAAGAGGGAGAGTCACTTTTCTTTAACGGTGTGCTACCTGATAGGTCAGCCATGCTCCAATGAATGTCCACACACCCAAGAGCACAGCACAAATTTGATTCGTGTGTGTGTGTGTGTGTGTGTGTGTGTGTGTTTTAATGTCACACAGTTGAGTAGGTGGGGAGCAGTCTGGGAGGAGTTGGGGAGGGTGAATATGCTCGAAATACAGTGTATGAAATACTCAACAAAGTAATAAAAATCAAAATTAAACCAAATGTACCGTACCAAACTCTATTAGCTCAGATTTATGCACTTCTTTTTCCTCCAGTAAGATTTGGCAAGCCAATTCTCAATTTTCAGAATCAGCAACTGCACAAACTGGACTGCTCTGAACCAGAATTTGTTTGCCTCAAGGGTGTGACTAACTGGCAAAATGAGCTAGAAGAGAGGTGGATGCAAACATGTAACTTGAACATACTTTACAGAGTTATGAGGACTCAAACAAATCCATTTATAATACTGTAGGGTATCCTGAAAGGTGCTCATCAAAGGAGACGTTAGGGAGCCAAGATGACTTCCTAACCTGCTAGAAGCAGGAGGATGAAGGTCTACCCAGCTTCCCGAGCTGCTGCTTCACAGCACTGTTGCCTTCGGCTCTCACCCTTCCCAGGAGAAAGACCTGTGTTCCCTCCTCTGGAAGTTTTTAATCCTGTCCTGGGTAGGGGTCAGAAGGGGAGGGATGTGATTGGAGGGGCAGAGCCACTGCAGGGCTAGAAGCTTGGGATGCCAGGCACTGTCTGCACTGCCAACACCTGAGCCACAGCTAGCTCAGCCCAGGTACCATGCCAGTCTACAAGAAAAGAGGCATCTACCCATCACCCTACTCCCTGAGAGTCAGAAGGAGATGCGGGATAAACTCAGGTAAAGGAGAAAGTGAAGATGATATAGCAGGTGACAAAGGAGCAGATGAGTTGCGTGAACACGTGGGAAGGGCACAGGAGAAATAGGCACGGGTTAAGTGTAGGTGATGGGGAGACAGGTGAGGGGCACAGGTGGGAAGGGCTGCAAGTAATGAGAGAGAGGAGCGCAGTTGACAAGAGGTGGGCAGAGATGATAGGAGAAAGCACAGGGGAGGGGAGGGTGCACAGGTGACCGGAGGGGCTCACCGGGAGAGGGAAACAGATGTAACAGGAAGGGGGATAAGGGTGACGGGGTAACGGGAGGGAGACAGGAAGTGAAGGTGAAGGGAGGGGACACAGGTGAAGAGGGGACAGAGAGGAGGAGGCACTGGTGGAGCAAGGAAGACAGACCTACGGATAGAGAGGGTAGTGGGGTGACAGGCGAGGGACATAGGTGAGGAGATGGGGAGCAGATGACCGAGTCGCAGGTGACAGAGGACGTCAGCGACGCGGGGCGTCGGAGTCGGTCTGCAGCAGACCCGGTGGGGCGCTGGAAGGCCGGCGTGGGCGGGGGGTCCGGGACCGTGCTATGGGACCGTGCAGGTCTGCGCTGCGGCTCCCGGGTCCAGCGCACCGCGCAGGACCAGGGGAACCGCCCGGCCACGCACCGTGGACTCTCGCACTTGGCTGTGGAAGTGCTGCTCCCGCGCCGATACCTCGTCCTGCCCTTCCATCCTCCTTCATGCCCGCCGAAGGGCCGCCCGCGTCCGCGCGCTCCGCCGCACCATTGCCCGCGGGCGCCGGGGCTGCACAGCCTCTCGTGGCCGGACAGGAACGCCACCTGGACCGCAGCGAGCTCGGAAAATGCCGCCTCAGCTCGGGAAGAAGCAATTCAGGACGCGAGAGGCGGAGAACGGCCACAGCATGGGCGGGGCTTGAGGTTAGGGCGGGGCTTGTGCGTCACTCGGAGGGCGCCCTACGTCAGAGACGCGCCGCGCGTCGGCGCCAGGAGCTCTGGGCGAGGGTCGCTAGGCGCCACGGGGAGTGGCTGGAGGAGTGGGGGCGGAGTTTCTAGAGTCCAGGACTGAAAGGGGGCCTCTGAAACGTGGAGGAGCCGGGTCTGAAGTGTTCGGATCCATTTGCCCAGGGCTGGGAATAAAGGCGGCTCCAGGCTGGGGAAAGGTCGAACCCCTGGTGGGGGCGGGATTCGGAGATGAGATGAGACCCAGGCGCAGGTGCACCCGGGCCTTTCTAGCAGAAGCTCTTGGCTGACCCGCAGATTCATTGACCTTGCTCCTCCCTTGCTCTTGGGATCTGAGCCCAGCATTAGGCTCGCCCAGCCCGAAGACCTGGGCAGAGGCGAGGTAGGTCTACTTGCAGAAATTTTCTCTCCCAATCGAGTACAAAGACGGAAAGCAGTTGCAGGATAACACTGTGGGCACAAGCCCGAGTTCCCGCCTCTCTGTGGAGATAAGGGCCGCTGCCCTTCTTAGAGGACAGATAGCCTCTGGGGACCCCAGTCCTGCAAATGGATTTAGGTGCCAGGGTCAGGTTCGGGGCCCTCCGTAGCCCTTAATGCCCTTCATTTGGAGCACTGCTAAGTATGCCAACAAAGCAATTTCCCTCCATTCTGGGATTTTTGTTTTGTTTTAAAATTGAAATTTAAAGGAGTATTTGGTTGGTTGGTTTGGTTTTCGAGACAGGACTTCTCCTTGTAGTCCTGGCTACCCTGGAACTCACTCTGTAGACCAGGCTGCCTCGAACTCTGAGATCTGCCTGCCTCTGTCTCCTCCACCAAGACCCTGGCCTTAAAGGAGAATTTGCAAATTTCCTTCTGGGTTCATTTGGTAGGAGAGCTTGTAAGAGAGCCTGGCTAAATAAGCCTGACCAACTCCATGACAGGTTTCATTTTCTTGCTAGACAGAACAAGCCTAAGAGTTACAGGAAAAATTGAAAGGGGTAACCAATCAGAAACAGCCAAGACATCTGGCCTGGGGAAGATAAGGTTGCTTAACTACCAGTTTGAAAAGCACCTAAATCCTGACCAGAGTCACATAGCCTCCATGGGCACCAGCCAATCCCAATCCAGATCACATAGCCACCATAGGAATTCACCTTTTTGGTTTTAAAAGGGGACCTTCGAGGTCCCCTCGGGGTTGCTACCAAGTTGTAAAGGTTGTGGCCCCAGCATGATGGACTTCTGCAGTATAAACGCCCTTGTTATTTGTATGCTGCTTGTCTGGGCTTGTTCTTTCAACATATTCCAAAACCTAACACTTGGAGTACCTGAGGCTTGCTCCAGTGTGCCTGCTGATCAACCAGTAACAACTTACAGCTGGTTGAATTCGAACAAGTTCACCTTTGATATGTCTTTAAATGTCTCAGCCCTAAAGAGCAAGGAAAAGACTAGTATCCTGGCGTCTTTTTCTGGACAGCTACATTTGAAGAGCTAGGTTAAATACACACCTGAACCAATCTAGATGGTCCCTAGGTTAAGCTGTCCAAATAAGAGGATAAACACATCCGCTTTTGAGGTACGTTGCATGTAGGCACATATTCCAGAAAGCAAAAGCATACAGTATTTCACATCTTTCCAATTGGATACTATAACCATTTAAACCTTTACATTTCTGTTACAGAGATGTTCATGGATGCTTACCCCTTTTATTCAGTTGTTTCATTGTCTTTGGAACTTTTGAAACTTAACCCAGGGTGGCCAAATTAAAAAATGGACATCACTCTCCTGCCAGGCACCTTGCTCATGCCTCTGCCCTCTGGCTTTCCCTCTCTTCCAGTGAGAAGCAGTCACCCTTGACTCTTGCCCTGATTGTGTGACTTGCTCTAGCCAATAGGAAAGTCAAAATTATGACACTATTAGGAAAAGGCCTGTGCTTTAGAGCTTGTCTTTCCTGTAGTCTCTAGTGACTCCAGGAACCAGTAAAAAGAAGCCCCAGGCAAGCTGGAGTTAGGCATCCTGTGACTTCTGCTACTCTAACCAACACCCTTTTCCCATATCCCTCTTCAAGATTAATTCAGCTAAAATAAGTCAGATACAGACATAATTGGCATGTTTTTAATTCATTTGTGGACGATGAGTTTTATAGTGATACCTAAATACTATATACATAAATGCATATACATATTTGACATGTAAATAGAAGCAAGAGTATCTGGGGGGAAAAGGGGACTAGTCAGAGATAAGGAGAAAGGAAGAATGCATGGAAGTACCATAATAAAAGTATAAAAAATGCCTTTATGATACCCATAATGATGTACAATGAATAAACACCAATTAAAAATGATTAATTAGGCCAGTGAATAGTTCAGCAGGTAAAGGCATTTGTTGCTAAGCCTAATGCCCTGAATTGCATCCCCAGAAATCATGTGGTAAAGGAGAGAACCAATTCAACTCATGTACCTTGTGGCACATGATTGTACACACACACACTTTTTAAAATGTAATTCTTTATATAAACAAATGAAACAATGTTCATTTAATTCATTAAGTAAGTGAGGATTGAATAAGCATCCATATTGTCCATACTAACAGCCCTTTTAGATACTAAATATGCTCCCTTTTTTCCAGTTTTTTTTATTTTTTTATTCAATATAATTTATTCACTTTGTATCCCAGCTATAACCCCCTCCCTCGGCCCCTCCCTTCTCTTCCCATGCCCCTCCCCCAGTCCACTGATAGGGGAGGTCCTCCTCTCCTTCCTTCTGACCCTAGCCTATCAGGTCTCATCGGGACTGACTGCATTGTCTTCCTCTGTGGCCTGGCAAGGTTGCTCCCCCATCAGGGAGAGGTGCTCAAAGAGCCAGCCACTGAGTTCGTGTCAGTTTTTAAAATTATAAAAACATAATATTTCTAACTATAAGTCTGTTTGGATAAGGGCTTTGAATTTTTCTCTGGGAGGTGTCATATGACCATACTGTATTTGGAGACTAGACAACAAGTAAGATCAAGACATGAGACTCACTGCGATAATTCAGAGCCTATGTATTGGATCCAGGTAGAAGCAGTACAAGTGATCAGAGGTGTGCAGGAGATTCGTGTTGAGAGTCTGTAGCAAGAATCTCTAACACACAGCGTCTTAGTTAGAGTTTCTATAGAGAACACCATGACCACTCTTATAAAGGAAAACATTTAATTGAGGCTGGCTTTTAGTTCAGAGTTTTAGTCCATTATCATGATGGGAAGAATGGCAACATGCAGGAAAACACAGTGTTGGAGAAGGAGTTGAGAATTCCACAGCTGGATCAGGAAGAAGGAAGAGTGACACTGGGCCTGGCTTAAGCTTCTGAAACCTCAAAGCTCACCCCCAGTAGCACACTTCTTTCAACAAGGCCACACCTACTCCAGCAAGGCTACAAATCCAATAATGCCACTCCCTATGAGCCTGTGGGGGCCGTTTTCACTCAGACCACCACACACAGGCTGGGAGTAGAAAGCAGGCTCAAGAGACTAACACCTAGAGGGATAAAGTTGTATTAACTACGGAGAGAGGGCTTTGGTAAAGCAAGTGAGGTGAGGAGTGAACCAATCTATGTAAAATGAGGGAATGATACTCCTGGCTACCAATGTGTACTGTATATTAAGCTTTCTGTTAAAAGGGCATGACCAGCAATTATTGTAAAAGATGTTCCATTTCCTCAATTCTTGGAAGGCACTGAACCCTAAATGATACAAATCATCATGCCTGGTGAAAAAAATATATAAATGTCTGACAGTGTGGAATGTTGTCAAAAATGTGTGGATTCAAGAAATTCTCCTGTGCACCACATGAACCAATACAGCGTCTTCAGAACATAATGTAGCCTTGCTTGTAAAGCTGGAAATAATCAGTGAGCAACTGCACTCCTGTCCACCAATGAAGAGAAGCTCCTGTCCTTGTGAACCAGGAGAGATGGACAAGAAGCTACACCTACAATTCTTGAATGAGTACAATTCTCTCACAACCCAGCTGCCCACCGACGGTGGAGGAGAAAAAATGACATGTGCATGGAGCTATAATGTGCTGGGGCAAAAATCCATGAACAAGGGTGTATTAGTCAGGGTTCTCTAGAGTCACAGAATGTATGGAATGAATATATACGTTCAAGGATGGATATGTATGCGCACACACACACACACACACACACACATATATATGTATGTATGTATTTAGAGATAAATGTATTGGAATGATGTACAGGCTGCAGGCCAACTAATCCAATAATGGCTAGCTGTGAATGGAACATCCACAAATCTAGTAACTGCTCAGTCCCACAAGGCTCAGGGGTCTCAGCTCGTCTTCTGTATATGCTGGAATCCCGAAGAAGTAGGCTCCAATGCCAGTGGTAACAAGCAAGCAGACAAAAAACAAAACCTTCCTTCTTCCATTGTCCTTATGAAGGTTTCCAGAAGAAAAATGTGGCCCAGATTAAAGATGTGTCTTCCCACCTCACAATCTGGATTAAAGGTATGTGTCTTCCCCACTCAAGATCCAGATCAAAAAAAGCCTGTGTCTTCCAGACTCAAGATATGGATCACAGGCGTGCCCTCTATTTCTGAATCATTCCAGTTATAGTCAAGTTGACAACCAAGAATAGCCATCACAAAGGGCCACAAGTGACAATGCAGATTCATCTCTAAAAGAAAGTGTTGAGCAAAAGAAAGCCACAGGAAAATAGGTATGACTCCATTTATATAGATCAGAACAATGCAAAACAAGAATATATCATTTGATTAGGCAAATGTGCAATAGAACCTGAAGAAAATAAGGGAATGATAAAACTTGGAAATGGGGGTCAGAGCAGACTGTGATGGGTGTTTATGGTTACAAAGATTTCATGGTAATGCATATTTTAAACTGGCATTGGGTTTTTACTACTCTGTTGTATTGTTACTCTTCGTACCATATACATTATT